AACCACAATATCCTAAAGGCAAACCCTGTACATTTCAGACTGGTTGTCCAAAGAACGACTCTGTGACAGACAGAAAGCAGTCGGGTTGCTGAACTTTTCACTGAAAGTGCATTTTTGGAATATCTAGTGTGCACCAACTAGAACGTCCTGGGAATTAAAAAATTAATGGGCTCAGGAATACCTATGCTACCTTCATTAATCAAAATAAATCACCATACACAAACCCGAGAAGTTTGATAAAGCAAGAGGTAAGGTCTGTACGAGACAGCAAACACTAGAAAATATCAGAAAATGGGAACGCACTGGGTTGCCTTCTGGGGTGAATAATAGAATCGTTGGGGCTGTTCTTGAAACACATGTTGTATACATGAAGCAGCAGAGTACAGGAAAAAAACAACACAAAGAATATTTGTAAATCGTAAAACCAAGAAGAGATCTGAGTCAACTAGAACCGAAACAGAATGGGCAGCGGACAGCCTCAATAAGTCAATAATGAGTTAGCTCTGAATAAGCTGGGTTTTTGGCCTTTTTATGACACTACAACATAGCTTGTTGGCATATCTTAAATGACTAATTGTACGCAATGAGTTGTGTCCACAAGAAGGGAAACCACCCTGCGATCAGTCCCCAGGGCAAGCATTTTAAGAATATATGAGGCGTGCCTCGAGATTTTATGGCACTAGTTTGATTTTGCCTAGTAAGGATTTGATTGAAGCATTTCTCATGCTCTGTCTCTGGTTCCAGGGTATTCTGTGATCACATCACTTGCCTGATTCCTTGCCCAAAGGAACAACTAAGCTCACTTGGTACTTCACCAGAAATGCAACGTAAATCCTGAAGTTCTAATTGCTTTTCCAGCGATCACACTGTCTGCTATTGACAAAACTCCACTCAAACGGGATCTTCTTGAAGCTGAATGTAGTCAATAATAGTGTGACAACCTTTCTTCCATATTAACCTGGTTGTAACTCTGTAGTAAGACAGCAAAGATTCTTTGCCCGTCTTTCATCCTCAGTACAGTACGTTCTTTCATTTTCTCCAAGCCTCTTGTGAGGGCAGTAATGAATTCTTGTTAGTGTTTACTAATGTAAATTCATTCTTTGTTATCCCTGGGAGAGGAGGATTAGCAAAATGACAGAACTTATTATTTCTGGTATTGCTATATAATATTTATTTTTATTCAGCCCTTAATTTTGTAGTATGTCCCGGCAAATAAAATATATGTGCATATAAGCAAAAACTAAGCGAGAATTTTTTAGCACAATGCACAGAAACATAGTTATGATTCCCATTAACATTCAGAAGCATTGTACAGCTTTATCCTTGCATGCTATATTAAAAAAAATAATCTAAATCTGAAATAATTTCTGATCTAGAGGAAGATGGGAATTGCAACTTCAATTTCATTTTCCTGGAATGAAAGCAGCTGCCTTGGACTAAGGATGTGCATATTTTTAGGACTGGCTAAAAATGACAATCTGTGCAATTATTTTACTCTACTGGGAATGCTTTTGGCATCTTCTTTAAGGAACTTTAATGGTTAAGATGAAGTTTATAAAATACACAAAGAGCATTTAAGTAAAGAAAGCTCTTAAAGGACTTATCTTTGAATAAATAGATCATCCAAACTCCCATCTCAGCCATAAATGAAATTTAGAGGGGGAGGTATTTACAGTGGCTGTCCTCTGCTCCACAGAGAAGAGAAGAAACTGAAATTACAGTGTACACATAAGATTCTGAAATTAATGGATTAATGGAAAAAGGCACTGGTCCAGAGCTTAAGATGATCTCCACCTGTGAGCTAGACCGCATACACAAGTAGGCACGTTCAGGTCAACCCGACTACTACACACACGCAGGAGTTGTTTCCATACATACAGGCTGGGCTACGTTGCAATGAATACACGCTAAAATCTCCTGCCTTGGAGTCAAGTGGCCGTTCTGACTAGCTGTGTCTCTAAATCCGAAAAAATCCTCTCCTACGTCTCCGTGTCTATGTTACAGAGGACCCAGCTGCGATCTCTCAGGCTTTCCATCCCCAGGGTTCCCACGCAAGCTCCCAGTCCTGGCAATACGGTGGCTGCCGTGGAAAATTAACTCATTGAACTTGTGGAGTTACCGTCGCAAGAACCAATGCAATCCATTCACCAGAGCTGAAGTTTAGAGTTGAAATGGATTACCTTGCGGCTTGATAAAGTGACTGACAGAGGGTTAGAATACCCAAAGCTGCAGGCTGCCAAAGGTCTTTCTGAAATGCTTAGAAAAGTCCTGAATCTCTCACTACGGTATCAGGGGAACCTTGGTTAATTTTACGGGCTCATATTTCAGATCTGTGTAATTCAGAATTAAGCTATTGTGCAAAAAAAAGGGACTTTCAAGCTTTCCACCTCACCAAATGACTTTCCTTGCCAAAAATAAAAGACAATGAAGATTTCTCTTTGCTCGGGGGGGAGGGCAGCTCAAAATTCCATTAATACTGAAGCTTAGCTGAGATTTCTCAATCTTCAGCAAGATTGTCTCCTTTTATTTGTGTCATTGGTAACCAGGTGGCCTATTGCTAGGAACACGACTGAAAGTTCCTCTTCCAGGCCACTGTAATTTGGCAAAAGAAACATTCTTCCACCCCACTGAAACACAACTTATCCTGTAAAACTACAGATCTTCTCTGATACCCGCCACATACAGTGAGTTATCCTTGTGCAAGACAACCAACAACCACGTGAGTTTAAGCTGTTGCCCTAAGGAGCTTACACTATTTATGATTTGTCTGAAATCACTGCAGAGACTTCCAAAAGCAAAGTATGCTTAGATATTCTTTGTGGTAGTCCCCTCCTACAACCAAAAATGCTGATAGAAGTGTAAAGAAACTTTAAGTTAAAAAGATTTGCGTAGAGGAATCTACAGTTGCATTCCACAAGCCAAAATCTACGTGTGAAAGCAGAGTCTTCGTTATAGCCCACTTGAAATAAAAATGGAACATGATTATTTGCTTTAAATAACAGTTTAAACACCTTTAAAAAAAAAGAATTCTGATTTTGATACAGAGATAAAAACATGGAAATCTCATTTTGGGATGTGTACAAAAAAAAATCGGAATTTCACTGCAACAGTGAACTATTTGCTTTGAAGGTATCAAAGAGCTCAGAATTCTAACTTCTGCTCTGCAGTGCTACAAATCACATGTCATGGACGGAATTATCAACTTCCAGATTACTCTGATGTAATTCAGGTTAGAATCCGACCAAGAGAAATCCACTCACAATTTATTTTTTTGCCACAAATTTGTAACTACAGTGTAATGAGAGAGCAGCGTGCCCTACCTGGGTATCCATTGTCAATATAAGGCTTAACGAGTCCTCCAAGTTTTGTCTTGTCTGCAACAGCTTCCTTTAGCAGTTGCCCACAGCAAACTAACAGGAAGGAAGAACAAAAAAAGACACAAGGTTAAATTTTAAAAAGGAAGCAACAAAGAAAAGAAAATAAACCCCAGAAGCTGCATACTGGAATAAGGTCACTGAATAAAATAAAAGTCGTAGGTTTTTGGGTTTGTTGTTAGGATTTTTTTTTTTTTTTTTTTTTGTCCAAGCAGAGCAAAAAGCAAAGAGACTGAGCAGGGTAGAATACTGAATAAAAAAGAATACATTTGGTAAAGAGCATATTAAAAACAGAGACAGAGAGAAAGGTATTAATCAAATATGTTCCTGAAATAATAACTCAAGGGATCGCTAGCATTTTTCACTTTTTATAAACTTATAATTACTGAATAAAG